TGGAACACTTGCTGCAGACAAAATGATAGATTTATGAAAGAAAATGTAGATTGGCTTAAAACAGTTATAATCTTTCCTGATTCTGTATATGACAACACCTACACCAGGAATGACAAAAATGATTTGAGTAATAACAAAGTTGACAAATCACGCGGTCGCCCGGTTTTATCGTTTGACCTCTCTAGTGACCGATCAAAAAGACGAAAGTGTCAAAATTTGTATAATGCATCTTGTTTAAGTGAACTGAGCCAAACCACAACATTAGCGTTAAGAAAACATGGAATTGAAGATGCTGCAAAATTAGTCAAAGAAATCACTCATACTACTCCGACAAGAGGAAAAAAAATTCGTGAAACGTGGAAAAATCAGCAATTAAAAAATGAACCTACGTCATTGAGTACAGATGATTATGACATTATTAGAGACATTATTTCTGCATCATTATCAAAATCCCAATACAATTTACTTAGAAAAAGTGCAAAACATCATCATTTTGATTTATACCCCTCGTATCACAAGATAATTGCTGCCAAAACTGAAACTTATCCCAATGACCTAACAATAACTGATGAAAAATGTGAGGTAAATAGTAATTTGTATATCATATTATTTTAATTTTATATTTTATTATATTAATATAAAAAAGACAAAAATTGTTTTTTTATTATTCAAAAGGTGAAACTACAATCCCTCCTAAATCATACAGCACAGAGACTTCTAAAAAGTATTTCAAATTTAGAACAGTATAATGGTATTAGTATTACTTTGTATTGTAAGTGGGGCTATGACGGGACTTCTGGTTTTCAAATGTACAAACAAATTACACCGGGGGGTTCCAGTGACGAATCTATGCTAGTAACTGCGATGGTACCATTACGATTAGAATGTGATGTCAACGGAGAAATTGTATGGCAAAATCCAGTATGCTCATCCACTCGGTATTGCAGACCAATTCGACTGCAGTATATTAAAGAAACAATCGAGGTTATTCAAGCAGAAGAAAAATATATAAGTGAACAAATAAATAGTATCTCGTCATTCATCAGTGATTCGGGGATAGTAGTTAACTTTAAAATGGACCTTACAATGATTGACGGAAAGGTATGATATTATTTTTGTTTTTTATTTGCCATCTTAATTTATTATACATTATAACTTATAATGTATGATTAAAAATGAATTAGGTATGTAATGGAATAACAGAAACATCGTCAATGAAATGCTATATATGTGGAGCAAAAATATCGGAAATGAATAATTTAAACTTATTAGGCAAGAAAATAGAAGATACATCTAGGTTTAGGTAATAATTATTTAAATTGTTAATTAGTAAAAAAAAATATTAAATATACATTTAAACAAAACTGAATAATTATAGAAGTAATTTTATTTTTACAGTTTCGGACTTTCTACACTTCATGCCTACATTCGTTTTTTTGAGTGTCTTCTTCATATTTCATACCGACTGGATTTTAAAAAATGGAAGGTAGCCATTAATTTAATTTTATTATTATTGATATTAAAGAATAGTAATAACACTCTTATAAATATTGTTTTATATTTTATGTTAAAGGCAAGTAAAATTCATGGGTACGATTTATTACTAAAAGAGAGGAAAATCCAAATCCAAAATTCATTTAGAGAAAAATTAGGATTGATAGTTGATATTCCAAAACCAGGTTTTGGAACAAGCAATGATGGGAATACAGCTAGACGATTTTTTAAACACTCCAATGTATCAGCTGACATAACGGGAATAGATCACCGATTAATTGAGCGATTTAGTATAATCTTACAAACACTATCATGTGGGTACCATTTAAATTTTGAAAAATTTGGAAATTATTGTTATGAAACTGCTCAATTATATATAAATTTATATGATTGGTATTATATGCCACCAAGCGTGCATAAAATTTTATTGCATGGTGCTTCCATAGCAAAATCATTTATTTTACCAATCGGACAAATGAGCGAAGAAGCACAAGAAGCCCGCAATAAAGATATTAAAAAATATAGAGAATATCATAGCAGAAAATCATCAAGAGTAAATATTAATACAGATATTTTTCAAAGATTATTATTATCATCAGATCCACTCATAAGTAGCTTAAGTGATAAAAAAAATAATAATAAAAAAAAAAGAACTCTGCATCCATTTATCAAGACATTGTTAATTGAATCTGAAAGTGATTGTGATCATGATAGTAGCAGTTGTGATAGTAGCGGGGAAGATTAATTTTTATATTTATAATATATATATATATATATATGTATTGTGTATATTTTAGTTAAATTTAGTATAATATAATATATACAATTTTATTATATATTCTTGTTGTATATTTGAATAAGTATTTAAAAATTAAAAATAAATAATTAATAGCAAAAAAATAAATTGTTTTACATTGACTTATATTTGATTTTCTGGTTTTTTTTTTTTTTAATGCACACTGGAAGAAGTGTTTCTCGTTTCAAAAAAAATAAAAAATATCGACATTGGATATTTCTACGAGGCTTGAGAGTTTTTCCTCTATAGCATGTTTTTGATAAAAACAATAGGTCTCGTGCAGGCCATTTAAGTCTGTATACGAATACAAATTATTATTTTGATATTTATTATGTAAGTAATAGTTAATTTTAAAAGAGCTCTGTGAAAATTAGAATATTGGCCAACTATTTTGATTTTTGAACCACTGTGCGGTGGTTTATTGTGTTTCGAGTCGAAAAAATACACAAATGATTACCACGATGAAATGAATGGGGACACATTTCGTGAGTGGATCCTCCATTGCCCTCCGCATTCTACCGCTACTACGACCGAACTCCGTAATTGTAATGGACAATGCGTCCTACCATTCCGTCAAAATTGACCGAGCCCCAACATCCAATACCCGAAAGGCGGATATTATCAAGTGGTTGGAAGATAAAGGAGAAGTAATTAATCACTCAATGGTCATCCCTCAACTTCTACATATTGTCAAACGTCTGAAGCCAATACACAATAAGTATGTTATTGACGAACTTGTGAAAGCGAAAAATCATACAGTTTTACGACTCCCGCCATACCACTGTGAGCTAAACTCCATCGAACTGGCTTGGTCATCAGTGAAAAACCACGTTCGGATGAATAACACCACTTATAAACTACCAGACGTAAAAAATTTATTGATAGAGGGCATAAAACGAGTCGACGCTAAAATGTGGAAAAATTTTATAAGCCACACCAAAAAGGAAGAAACAAAATTTTATGAAGTTGACAATATTATTGACGAGGTCTTGTCCGCGGAGATATCAGATGATTTGACGATGACTATCACGGGAGACACTTCATCTGAAACGGATTCAGATAGTGAATAAATTTTTTGTAAATATGAATTTAATTTTTGTAAATAATTGTTTAAATTTGTGTGTAATTTTTGTAAATATGACTTAAATTACTGAAAATAACTGTTGAAATATAATGATTTTTTTTTTAGAAATATGAGGAATTTTCGTAAATATGAAATTGTATTTATTTTTTAGTTTTAATTTCTTACTAAATTACATATATTGATTTCTTTTTGGTTTTAATAATAAGTGTATACAACGTAGGTATTGTGTTTGATGCAGAACAATGAGGTAAAAGTAAAAAAAAACAGTAAAAACGATAAAGAATAAATTGTTTATAAATCTATTATAAAAGCATTATTGGTAATAATTATTTGAATCGTGATATTATGATTCCCTGTATGCACGGCGGCGGCTATCGATAACGACGCGTATCGATAGCAGTCGACAACTAACGACCAATCACAGTGCGACTGACTCTTGCCGGGGGGTCGGACGATTGCCGACGGCACAGTTGCGTGCGCAAAAGTGGGCAAGGTTATTCTGAATAGAGTATAGTATACGCATACTCACTGTGATGCCACAGTGAAGAATTTTTTGGAATTTTTTTTCTAACTTCAAAATCTGGGTTTTTTAAAGTTATTTTTAGAATATTATCTCGAATGCAAAAATAAACACTCTAGTCGTATTTTTTTGCAAAATTCTCATACGAATCGAGATATCACATCATTTTTGAGCTTGTCGCGCGTTTTTCGCGCTCGAATCGCCAACTAAAAAAAAAGTCGTGCGACACATCGATTTGTATGAGAATACAGCAAGATAACCAGTGGTGATAATTATTTATTGTCATTGATAATACACAATTAATTAACACATTGTTTTACATTGTCAACTAATAAAAAATATGAAATAATAACAAAATTAGGGTTAACAGAGTTTTAAACGAACAAATTTACTACCTAGCATACATTTGTGTCATACCTTTATTAAATAACTTTTAACTTTATAAAGTTATAATAGTTAGAGATAAAAGGAACTACCTATTTGTGTGCTTACACTGAAATTCCATATTTTGGATATCATAGTACCTAACATAATTATTTTGACTAGATAAGATAAACATTTAATTTTATACTATTATTATTATTTACGTTCTGCCCATAACCTAGCTGCAAGATTTCCATTTCCATCAGCCAAACCCAGTCACAATTAATAAACAAATAAATAGTTTGTTTCGTATAACATGTCGGTTACGACAACTTAGAATAGTTACACGGGTATGTTTTGTGATAAAGTAAAATACCTAGAGTTTTTAATAAAAAAAATCACCAATAGGTGATATTAGTTAAATACTTAAACTAATTAATTAAATTAACTAGTACTTACCCAACATAAAAACCATGTCTGTATATTCAATATTTGTGTACGCCATTGCGCAAAAATCAAAATTTCAATTAAAAACTTTAAATCTTAAAAATTAATATTAATATTTAAAATGTCGTTCAATGACAAGTATTGGACTGAACTCTAATCAGACCAACTAATGTTCATCATATACTCTGTAAAGAGTACGGTCAATTCAATATTAACGATAAAAGTATAATATTAGGTTCACTAATAAATAATAATAATAGTATAAAATAAAATGTTTATCTTATCGAGTCAAAATATTTATGTTAGGTACTATGATATCCAAAAACTGGAATTTCAGTATAAACACACAAATAGGTAGTTCCTTTTATCTCTAACTATTATAACTTTATTAAGTTAAAAGTTATTTAATAAAGGTATGACACAAATGTATGCTAGTAAATTTGATCGTTTAAAACTCTGTTAACCCTAATTTTGTTATTATTTCATATTTTTTATTAGTTGACAATGTAAAACAATGTGTTAATTAATTGTGTATTATCAATGACAAAAAATAATTATCACCACTGGTTATCTTGCAGTATTCTCATACAAATCGATGTGTCGCAACACTTTTTTTTTAGTTGGCGATTCGAGTGCGAAAAATGCGCGACAAGCTCAAAAATGATGTGATATCTCGATTCGTATGAGAATTTTGCAAAAAATACGACTAGAGTGTTTATTTTTACATTCGAGATAATATTTTAAAAATAACATTAAAAAACCCAGATTTTGAAGTTAGAAAAAAAATCTTCACTGTGGCATCACAGTGAGTATGCGTATACTAATTACCTCACACACTTCAGAAACACCCTGTATACAATATACCTATACATATTCAATTTTATATTAATACTTATTCATTTACTAAGCATCAACATTTTTTATTTAATAAAACATACAGTATTCTCATAAATCATAAAAGGTTTTAAAATTAATATTATAGTTCAACTATCTATACAATTTGTATAATTACCTACTTTATTTTTAATTTGAAAATGTAAAAAATCAATGGTTTTTAAAAAGTTACATGTTAGCATACTGAAATGGTACAGCTCCAGGTCAAATAAAATAATTAGCAAAGTAATCTCTTACCCCAATTCCTTTTGATCGAGAACCTGCAGCATGTGCTTCAACGTCATCCAAAGAGTGGATTTCTGCATGTTCATTTTTATACCCATCTCTTACTCTTACAAAGTTGTGCAACATGCAACATGACTTGACTATTATAACAGTGAAATCTGGTTCAACCTGTATTGGAGTATGTAAAATACGCCATTTGTTGGCTAAAACTCCAAAAGCACATTCGACCATGCGCCGGGGCTCGTGATAGGCGATAATTAAATACTTTTCTCGTTAATGTTAAGCCACGTCCTGGGTATGGTCTAAAAAGATTGATATGAAGTGCAAACGCTTCATCACCAATGAAGACAAATGGTTGAGGATTATCATTAACATTAGGTAAGCAAACTGGGACTGGAATATTAAGTTGGTTTGAATAGAGTTTCTTTCCAAATGGACAATTTTTGAAGACACTTGAATCCCCTTCCTTTCCATAAGCTCCGACATCTATTGCGGTGAAGCATAGATTCGAATCTACTACTGCCATTAATATGATAGAAAAAATCAATTGCTCCTAAACAGTTTGGAAAATTAGTTTTGAGGTAATATTGTTTTGAAATTTCAATCCACCTTTCATTTGTCGGCTGAGGCATTTCTGTTGGTTGTAAAATCGTCCATATGACTTGACAGGTTTCAAAAATTATACAGCTGATTGTACTTTTACCTAGGTTAAAGTCAAATGTAAGTGCTTTAAAAGATAAGCCATTTGATAAATACCCGTAAAAATAAAAAAATTAAAAACAAGATAAAATTACTATAATTACTAGCAGAAGTTCAGAAATATCCATTTCTTAAGTTTGGTGTTGGCGTTTTAGAGACAGTATCATTATAATACATTAAATAATAATTAATGCAATTAATATTTCTAGAGAAAGCTATGAAAAATACTTGGCGTCATATCAGAGATAACTACATGCGATATTTAAACCAAGGAAAAAGTGGCGATTCAGCAAAATCAAGAAAAAAATACATATATGCTGATTCGTTATCTTTTTTGCAACAATCTTTCGTAAAAAGAAGGTGATTTAAATTAAATATTGAATTTTACTAGGCATTATCTAATCATATATACCATCATTGATTTATTTAGTATTTTTTTATTATTTTTTTTATTACTAATTAGGACAAGTGGAAATTTTGAAAATATTGAAACAACATCATTGGGATTGGAGCATGATTCAATTGCTGAAAATGATAGTGATTTAAATCCAAACATTAGTAGTGATCATGTTAATGATTTTAATTCACAACCATTAAATCAACCTCAAACAGAAAACATAAGCCAAAAACAATGATCATCCTTGGCAAGCTCGGCAGCTCGGCAATCAAAAAGAAATGTATGATTCGCAATTGTTCGTGCCTGTTGTATGTGGTTCTTTAACCTCATTACAACTGCAGACACTCATTTATGTATATTGATTTTATTGAATAAGATAGTTACTATGTTAATGATATTGCGGTGTACATCAAACACTGTTTGTACTTTTGTTGAATTTACTGAAACCCTTGCTACTACTATCGATATGTACCCACCATCGTTACTGAATTACTTGATTGAATACTACTAAACAATAGGGCTTGGATGTTTATGACTGAACATAAATTGTATACTCTAATGTTCAATTTTATTATTGTCCTAACATATATCCTTATAAGTCTTTGACATAGTACTAATAGTATTAATACATTTTGGGTCATGTACATATACTTGCATATTTTGACACCTCATTTTTTCCAGGAATATGTGTCAGGCGTGGCAGGTAGAAAGAGACATAGCTGACGCCGATCCCGTAAGAGTGCGTCCTAGGCCAATTACAATGCGTTTCGTTGCTGATGCGACCCGAGATCAGCGGCGATACAACCTGCCCACCGCAAATGAAGTCGCGGCTGTGTTCGTTGGTGACGACTGTCGTCCGCCCAGAAACCTCGATCTGGTCATCTACGACACAAATCCAATCAACCCGCAACACAGGATGCAAAATATACCTGCGGGTTTGTTAATGACTATTTCACACTAGACTGTTTTGATTTAACTGTTCATTTACATTCACCACATGTATACACTTTTATTTATTAACACTAGGTGTAACTTTTCATGGCAGTATTGCATTCAATTCGCATGGTTGGGTGTTGTATATCATGCACAATAGTCATTACATTATTATTATTCTTAAAAAAAAAATACTATGAACAAATTAAAATGTATATATATCAAATTCAAATAATATATAATATATCTGTGGCTCAAAGAGCGAATGTACCAAAAGAAAAAACTGTAAAATATAATAAAACTGTATTGTTTGGTTCACGTGAGAATAAAAAAAAACCATCATACAATATGCAAAAACTATTTGCGTTTTGCACTCTCACTAACGGCTCATTAAAAACTAACTAAATATTTTAAATTAATTATGTCTTATTTAACATCATGTCTGGTAATCAATAATGTAACTGGTTAAACATTTAAATTTTTGTTTTGAAATTACAGGGAGATTGGA